TAGGTTATAAGTGGCACAGCAGGGATTAGGTTATAAGCTGTCTGGCTTTAAGGGCCTGCATTAAAAATCAATGTTTACATTGTTTTCTGGGGTGATAAATGGCATGACAAAAGGAACTGTGGGTTTATACATGGAGGTAAGATCAGGAAAGCCTAGAGCCTATGGAGTCTGAGTTGGAAATTTACAGAGCTCCCGGAGAGAACAAAGGGAAGGAAATTTCCAGGCAGATGAAACTATGTTCATGGAATGGGTTAGGTAAATAGATATATTAGTAAGATGGGAATGTCAAGGTTTTATCAAGGCCTAGTTTCAAAGAGCTTAAGGTACTTGCCTTTAGGTTTCTAGGTTTTAGGGATAACACAAGCAATGAAATAGTCAAATATGTTTTCCTAAAGTAAGAATCTTCCAGGAATATGAGAAGAAAGTTAGTAGGGCCAGGGATTGGGATCATGAAATATACTACAAGGGTAAAAGCAAGAACTCTGTTAGGAATCTGTGTTGTATGTTGTGGGATGGAGAAGAAGAGATGATTATAAAAGGTGACTAATGTATAAAATGAACACACTGTTAAATGTGATTACCTTGATAGAAATATACAAATTTTCAGCTCTAGAAGTATGCAGACGAATTCACTTTTCAGGGTGTGTGGAAAGGGGCACTTGAAAATGGGGTGAGCAAAACGAGATATCACATTTTATTGGGAAATCTTCACCATCCTGATGAACTAGTCAAAATTCTACCACACAATTCATTATCTAAGTAAGTTTTGACTTATATTTCACCCAAGTTAGATAAAGTTGAAGAAATTGGGCTCCATGATCAAATTACACAAATTTGGCAACTTGCTCTGCCACTTACGTCAATTTTCTTGGACTCTCCTCGTTTTGGGTTTCTGATCTGTAGCACACTATGATCTAATAATGCCACAGTGTTGTTAGATTCACCTAGGGCTTAGCTTTTCCTATCACTTTATCATTTTCCCCCCTGGCTAGTATGTTTCCTGAAGGCTTAGATCAAGATTTACATTTTCCATCCTGACTTTCTGCCTTCTTGAGGTCTCTCATATACTCCTGATGCTCATGTTGATGTTTGGGTCTGTGTTCTGAGTGAAGATTTCTTGCCCAAAAGATGTGATGTTGATCATGGGCCCCATCTGTTCTAATTTAACTGGTTTCTCTATTCAACATGTTTGGAGGGAATTCCCAGTATTTCAGGGAACATTTGTGATAAGGATGAATCAGAACAAGGCAGCTGACAGTCCGATGGAGAAGATGTGAATACCAATGACAACTGGCAGAGCATAACATAGATCTTCAGAGAGAAGCGAAAGATGGTGAAGAGATTGTGTTTAGACTGGAGATCATAAAAGGCTTACTTAGAACAGCATTTGAGCCAAGAGTAAGAAAGTGATAGGCTTAATCTACCAGTGAAAAATTTCTCTCTCGCTCTCTCACTCTCTCTCTCTCTTTATATATACACACACATATATTATATATGTGTATATATATATATCTGTGTGTATATATCACTGTATTACTGCCATCCCATTATTCATTGATTTGCTCGAGCGGGCACCAGTAATGTCTGCATTTGTCCTAGCCCTGAGATTTTAGCAGCCTCTCCTTACTTGTCCTTCCCAACGGTGCTGTATTGGAGGCTCTTTCAGGGTCAGGGGAATGAGACAGATCATTGTTACTGTTTTTGGCATATCAAATATGCCATGGGAGCTTGCCAGGCTCTGCCGTATGGGCAGGATACTCCTGGTAGCTTGCCGGGTTCTCCTTATGCGGTCGCTTTCTTCCAGGAGCTTTGTCTCATAGTCTCTGGATCTTGGCTGTTGATGGGATTTTATGGCACTGGGGGCAGTTTGTGGGTGCAATTGCCTAGCTACTGGAAAATGGGGGATCTGGGTGAGAAGGCCCAATTCCAATCCAAGCAGGCTTGGATATCTCAGCCCCGGGACCCACGCACCTGGGTTCCTCTGCCGGTTCCTTCATGCATGAGGCTTGTCCAAGGGTGTGGAGAGTGGCCTTGAGCATGGCTGTGGCTGGGTTCCAATATGTATTCCCATACATTGCTATATGGGGCTTGAGTCAGAGGAGATGAAAAGGTGATACAATAGGAGTTGAAGTGTGGAGCACTAGGTCACTTTAAACTTTCATGCGTAGAACAGGCAGCCTATCAGAGTATAGAATGGGATGGCTGGGGGTGGGATTTGGTAGCAGATAAAGGGAAGTCCCCCCTCCTCATTCTTCTCTGAGCACATCTTCTCTCCCAGAATCGGGTAGGATGACAGATTCAGACACTGCACCTAGTACCACAGGCCGGAAAGAGGCAGGTACAGAGGCAAGGCTCAGATAGACGCTCAGGGTAGCTCAAATACAGGCAAGGCTTGAACACCCAGGTAGTGACAAGGTACTGAGCACAGGACCGTCATCCATGCACACATGACCATGGCTGGAGAGTAGGAGAACCAGGACTGTATGACAAGAACTGCTGAGGTAGAGCTGGGAGGCCCAGCGATGGTATAGACCAAACATAGAGATCTTGCCCACATGGGCAGCTGTGGCCAGAGATGGAGGAAAGTGTACACAGGGTAGAGAATAGTGCAGGGACAGGACCTGGTCATTGTTCACCCACCGGTAAAGGAGAGGCCTGGATATCAAGGGTGGGAGCTGGAACCATTTAACTTTTCAGTGCAATAAACTAACTTTCAATCTCCCAGTTTTGTATGCAAATCTTTCATACAATTCTCAAGAACCCATCAGTGCAGGAAAATCCGCTTTTGTGTTAACAAAGCCTTGCTCTGTCCTTCGGATTATCTCTAGACATCAGAAGACAGAGTAAGTTAGTGAAAAGTGTGTAAGTCTATTTTTATCTTTTTTCCTTTTCTCCCTTTATCATCCTATCCCCTGACTTCTCTACACCTATCCTCCTCCATTTCTTCTGTATATATGTATTGCTTTCCACAAAGTCAAAAAATGTTTTCTTCCCCTCTCTAATAATACAGCATATATAAATATTGATCAGTACCCACTCCATCCCTAATGCCAATTATCATAACATCTAGCTATTTCCTCTTGGGGAAAAATAGTGCTTGTTGGTGCCTGTTGGTAGGTTGTGAGAGAGCTGAGAGAGGAAGAAGTGAAGCAGAATTGAAATCCACACAAAAGATTTATTTTATACTTCATCCTACCCTGCACACAGCAAGCCCTTTCCTTCCTCCCCAAGTCACACATTTCAGAAATAGCTGTTGAGAAGGAAGTGAAATTTCTTCACAAGCTCACAGAAGATGGTGTCGTGGGTTAAGCCAGGCTTTAGAAAGAACAAAATTGGAAGAGCCTATCTGACTTACAAATCAGTGGCAAAGAATGAGAACATTTCAGGTCTATCAAAGAGGGAGGCAATTCTATTAAACTGATTACTTTTCCCAGGTAGGCAATCCCAAACTCACCTCTGCCTTGAGTGTATATGAAAGTCTAAACAACATGTCAGTGATCTTATATGAACAATGTGCTTACTGCCCACTGAGAAATCAAACCTTCTGTTCAACCTCATGTAATAGCATTTGAGAGATAGAATATTACCTCATTTCATCAATGATAGTGGTGATAAGGCAATACAGACTGTCTTTAACTATTTGGGGCTCTTGACCCTCAAAATGAACATAGCATCTTCATTCCCCACTTGCCTCTGCTGAGGAAAGGAGTGATTAATAACACAAAAGGTGGAAGGAAGGACAAGTGCTGTCAATATGATTCCCTGGTTAAAGGAATAAGTGGCTGATTAAGAACAGAATTTGAGAGACCTGGGTGTCCTGGCGCCAAAAGGGCCCAAGAGACAACACACTGTAGGTTTAGAAGGAGCCCCATATTTGATCCTCTGGTGAGTGGATTGTGCACATTGTACTTCCTTCTTTTTACTCCTTTCTGCACTGATAATAATGTAACTCTTTAGGAGCAAGTGCTGGGATTTGTTTGGAAGTCACTCTGTCCTTTTGCAGTGAGAAATAGTTTTCTTTACCCTACACGCAGAGTCACCAAACCTAGAGTTTCAGGCTGAGGTGTTACGTCATTTATTTAAAGAGGTAAAAGTCGCTCAGTATCAGAGGCAGGAACACGGAGTAGCACACATTATTGTAACACAGATAAAAGTTGGCCCTGGCAGAACTACCTTGGAAGATTAGTGTTAAAATAGAGAAGACCGGCCAGCACATAGTTGATGTGGAAACCTGCCAAGGTACTTGGGAGAGGTGGGCAGGAGAGTCACTAGAGCCAGTGACAGTTAATGAACATATTCTGTCTTTCTTTGCCTTTCCCTTCAACCATTCAACTCATGTGAATACCTGAGATGCAGACAATGGCAGCATTAGTGAAACTCGAGTCCAGGGAACTTTGCGACTTACATTTTGGGATCAATGTCATCTGGGGGAAACACACACAGTGTAAGATAACTGTGCTCTTGGTCAGAGTAGTTGAGGAAGAAGTCACGTGAGGATAGGTCAACAGCAACAAGTCAGCTGGGAAGGCTTTGTGGCATGTCCCTCTTCAGGGAATGCTCATGCCAGGAGAGGAGGCTTTATCTCTGGGAGGCAAAGGGCCGCTTGGCCAAAGGGAAATCAGAGGGATGTATGATGGTGGGGAGGGCAAAGCCTTACTTGCTTGCACCTGTATTACTGGGCTCATCCATGCTCTGATTATCCCAACCGTATGACGGATCACAACAGAGCACTTAACTCTGAGAAGATTCCCTTCATAGAGTCATTCATAACCTATAATCCCACAGCTTCCCAAGGCAGCTCAACCCTCAAGGTAATTTGTCTCAGAAGAAATGAACCATCTCAGGGCCTGACCAAAAGGCAGGAAGCAGTGGTCACTCATACACCAGCATGGAGTCACTGTGGCCCAACAGTCTTATCAGAAGCTCCCTGTGTGTAAGCAATCAAGAGCAAAAACCCTCACCAGAAGATAAGTGGAGTCCTCAGGGAAGTCAAGACTCACCTCCTTTTAATGGTGAGCATTACGCCCAGGAGAATTATGATGAACATGAGGAGGCCTGCGATCACGCCGGCCATCTTCACAGTGTTGTCCACCTGCTTCTCTGGTTCCACAGTGTTGGAGTTCTGTGTGGAGGCTCCTTAGAGAATAAGAGACAAGGAGAAAAATGTTGACTAGGCTCCCAATCATGTTTGAACCATAATCCTAAGGGTGAGTACATTCATTTTTGGAGCACTATGTGCCAGGCTCGGTGCTAAGGGCTTTATATCATCACCTCATTGATTCCTTTCAAGGATTCATCCCATGAGGTTGAGCTTATTATTCTAGTCTTTTTTTTTTCAGATAGAGAAATTGAAATACAGAGAAATTGAGTTGCCCTAGATTAAACCATGGCTGTGTTGGGGGCATTCTTATCCTCCAGAGATCAATTGGAGGATTTTATCCCTCATACTACTGTGTCCTTAGAATCTAATAATGGAATTATAGTTGGTACTTGGGTTCCTGGGATTATTCCAAATCCTACTATATTCTTCCAAGTAAATGGTGAAAATAACAGCTTTATGTTAAGGTAACATGATAAAGAAAAAAACATAATGCTTTGGTTTTGTGTGTTGTATAAAACAAATGATTTCACACAATTAATACATTAGAGGATGTTTTATTGGGTCCAAAGACACTTCTATATGACTAGTCTATTCTGAGAACTTAAGGCTGTTGTTATGCCCTCAGCTGGGTGCCCACAAACTGACATCTCCAGGGAGAGAAAGGCAGGGAATGCAGCACTTATATCAAGTTCTGTGTTGGGCAATTTTGTGGTCTCATCGGTCCTCACAAACATTCCCCAAATCACTTAATTTTCCCTTTTTAGAGGAGAAAACTAAGATAACTTTTGAGACATCATGAAACTACTAAAAGGTGGAGCCAATATTCCAGCTTCCCAGTCCTCCATATTAGGAAGTCTTGGATGTCTAAGTTCAAGGTTCCTAGCCTCTGAACCTCTATGTTCCTCAACAATCACTTTGATTTGGTTTTTAACATAAAGAGAGAAAGTACACAAAGAAGGCCTCAGCCCAGCATTTTTATGCAGTGCAGAGGGATCAGAGGAAGGGGGCTCTCTGCAGACAGTCACCTATGTGAACACAAGAGAGAGTGGCCTGACACCTTAAGTGCATTTCTTCCTGCTGCTCTTCCTATTTGCAAGGAAGCCATGTTTGGGGAGACAGTTGAAATCAAAAGAATCCTTTTCTGACCTATCTATTTTTTGCCGCACCAGCACCAGCTCATACATTATCAGCAACCTCACCTTCTTTCATTGTCCTTGCCTCCGGGACAGTCTTTCTCCAGATTCTGATACCTCTGTAACACAACACTGACCTCAGAGGACCAATATCGTGAGTTATATGTTTCCCCATCTGTCTCTCCAGTGGCTTGTGAGGTTTGCAGGGGGTGGGGGGGAGGCATTATGTCTCATTTGTCTTTGTTTCCTCATGTTAGCACCAAGCCTGACTTGTAATGGGTGTTCCCTTAATGCTTGTGGTTGCTCAATGTGTAGCTGAAGGGATGACATCTCTGCCCACACACATTTGTTCTCATGGAACCAAATTGAATTTTTCTGTGTTCGGTCCTGTGTTCACAGAACTCAGCTGAATTGCAGGGATGTAAATGCCCATCAGCGATGATTCTGATTCCCCAACTCACTGATGTTTAAGCAGAGCCTCGAGCATAGTGATGCATCTCTTCTTGCTTAAAAACATCAAGAACTGACTCTGCCAGTGTACTTCCCCCAAACTCTCTTACAACTGAAATAAACTGGCTCTACTTAGATGTATCTCCCGAGTGAGAATAGTGAGTGTCCCAGGACAGTGAGCACACCTTATTCATCTCCCTAATGTCAGTTTTGAGCACAAGCCTCCCTCCTTGTAATTGTTGATTAACAGATGATTATTGAATAATAAAAGGCAAGTGAACCACAGTTGCTTGCTTCCTGTGGTCATCAATCATTCATTAATTTGCTACTGAGTACCCATGAGCTGTGTGCTAACTTACACTGTCTATGGGGCAAACATCTGCAAGTACTTGCGGGCGAGAGAGTTTACTTATCCCCTCCCCAGCAAGAATGGCTCATAAAACCTCAGAACTGTTTGGGTATGTTGTGTAATCTAGAGAATTCTTGAAGGAGTTAGCAAACCCCCTCTTTAGCAAGTCTGGTGTCACGTTTCAGAATGGGGTTCATTCAGATTTCGATTTGGAGAATTATTGGCACTGAACACTCACAGACTCGGGTAGCTAAACTTTACTTAGTGCTGCTTTGAGATCATCTTCTAAAGACTGGGGGTACAAAGGTGCCTTAGAGAGAATACTATTACCCTAGAATCACATCATTAGCTTGATCTAGTCCCTTCAATAAATCATCACAAGCAACCAATGTAGTGACATTTGATTACACAGTGGTGAGTAAATGAACATAGTTCTTGATCTCAAAGAGCCTACATTTATCACTGGATTGGGGTTTAGGAGATAGGATTAACAAACCAAGAATAAATAGCAATGAACTTTGAACTCTGTTAAAGACCAGAGCAGAAAGGCATTGGGTAGTAGAAAGTGCCAGGTAAAAGAATGTATCACTCTAAAAGAGAATGGCTAGTGGGGTAAAGTCCAAAAGAAGACAGGCACAAACTTAACAAAGAGAGAATGAGAAAAGCATATGGAAGCAGAGGGAAAAACACTATCTATGGCTTTGTGATGGAGAAGGAACCTTATACACTCAAGTAAAGGAAGGAAGAAATAGACTGTAATGAAGATGAGTAAACAAGAAGGGCATGGTGAGAGAAAAACTGGAGAAGGTAATTTGGGTCTCCATGTAGATTATATGCCACTGTAAAAGTTCTTGTTCTAACCCAAGTGCCCAAGAACAGACGACTGGCTAAAAAAACTTTGGTACATCTACACAATGGAATACTATGCAGCTGATAGGAGAGATGATGTCATAAAATTTGCTTATAAGTGGACAGACATCGAGAGTTTCAAGCTATGTGAAATGAGTCAGAAAGAGAGGGATGGATATAGAAGGACTGCACTCATCTGTGGAGTATAAAATAACATTTTTATACTTCACACTGGGAGTCTCCTGGTGGACGATTCCACAATGAAATTGACCACATCATATTTAATCGATGGTTTTGCCTGAATGATGTCGCTGTTCTCCCAAAATTCCAAATGGAATTGGACCACCATATCCTTTGTGCAAAATTCTACTTCACGGAGTGGGGAGAAAGGGCTGCAAAGTTTAAGAGAACTCCCAGAACGACCACCAACTGGGAGCTCTTTGGCACTATTGTGGCAACATGGGAAGATGCCGTTGTTGACAAAATGAATGAAGACTATGATCTACTGCTTCAGCACCTCCATGATTGTGCGAGGAATGCTGAGAGAGAGATAGCCACAAAAAGACGCCTATCTTCAAAAACTCTTGAGCTCATTTGCCAATGTGGCTTGGTGCAACCCTCAGGCAACTGCAAGCAAACATCTGAGCTTGCAAAGCAGTGCAGAGAAGCAATAAAGGAACACCTCAAAGAGAGAAGAGCAGCAATGCTGGCAGATGCAGCAGAAACTGGGAAACACATTCACAATGCCTGCCTGTCCTTCGCCAACTACAAAATCAAGATGACTGCCCTCTAGCATCCTGATGAATGTATCACATCTTCCAGAAGGGCAATGGAGAAGATTATCCATGACTTCTACTCAGATCTCTTCGATAGCCATGCCCACCTGCCCACATACCAAATTCCGCAGGATGGATTTGTTGTTCCCAACTTTCTCCCTTCTGAAATCCGACACACCATTTCATCGGTAAAGAAGCGAACAGCACCTGGCCCAGACAAGGTCAGACCCGAACACCTGAAGAACCATTGATGCCATCAGTGCTCATCAATACACTGGCTCAGCTCTTCATGCGCTACCTGTCTGAATGCAAGGTTCCGTCCCAATGGAAAACCAGCAGGACTGTACTACTGTACAAGAAGAGAGACATCCACGACATTGGCAACTATCTCCCAATTTGCCTGTTGTCTGTCATGTACAAGCTGTTGACTCAAGTCATCCTGAATAGGATTGGCAGAACACTACATGCGAGCAAGTCAGGTTCCAAAAAGGATTCAGCACGATTGACCATATCCACACAATAATCAAACTCACTGAGGTTTCTCGGGAGTTCAAGATGCCGTTCTGTCTAACGTTCATTGATTTAAAGAAGGCCTTTGATTCTGTTGAGACTCAAGCGGTCATCAAAGCCCTAGCCAAACAGGGCATTCAAACTCAATACATCAGGATCTTCTGTGAGCTGTATTACGGATTCACTACCAGAACCTCACCATTCTATAAGGAAGTGATCATCCATGTCAAGAGGCGGGGGGGGGGGGGGGTGGTTCGGCTGGGTGATACCATTTCACCGAATCTCTTCTGTGCCACCCTTGAGAATGTCATGTGATGACTGGAATGAGAAGGAATGGGAGTGAAGATAGACGTTTGGCAACTACACCACCTCCACTTTGCTGATGACATCGTTCTAATAACACCAAACATTAGCCAAGCATCACAAGTGCTGGCTGACTTCAACCATGAGTATGGAAAGGTCAGACTACAGCTGAATCTCATGAAGACAATGTTTATGAGAAATGGTTTTGTTCCTGACGTTTCATTTGCTCTCAACGAAATGAACATCTCCGAATGCAACAGTATGTGTACCTAGGTCGAGAAGTCAACATGACAAATGACCTGGCACCTGAGTCGAGCAGGAGGAAGAGAGTGGTTTGGAATGCCTTCAAGAGCATCAAAGAAATATCTAAGAGGATGAAGAACCTCCTGCTCCAGGCACATCTCTTCTATTCCACTGTTCTTCCTGCATTAACATATTCCTCAGAGACCTGGGCTCTACAAAAACTATTTGGGTCTCCCAAAGAGGAATCGAAAGACCTATGCTTGGAATATCACGCTTCACTCAAGTGAGAGAAAGAATCTGGAGTTCCAACCTCCGTCGGTGATCAAGAATCAGAGATGGTGTCTCATTTGCCAAGGCATTGAAAATCAGATGGGCTGGGCATGTAATGATATTTGGAGATGACTGCTGGACTAGAACCATTA